TTATAAATATTAGACATAAGCTTATGGGCTGTAATTTGATATATCTCCTTTGTCACCTTTTTTTGTGTAGTAATATAATTGTAGATTTAGTCCAATCCTTGGAAATTTTCCGTTTTAATAATTTCGTTAAATATATTTGTAAGATCGACCAATACTGGATGTAATTTTCAGTATTTCATTTGTTATGAGGTTGATCTGGAGTTTATCATTCTTTTGTGTACTAATTGCTTATGTTCTTCGTTAGTATAGGATTCCTCTTATGGTAGTGCATCATATCTCTACACTTGTCCCAACTTTTGACTTTGATATAAATTTCGATAAAATTCGAGAGCTTAGTACTGGGTCTCTTCTCTGTAATTTACCATCCTCTTAAAGATCCAATCCTTTTTGTTAGTCTTCAGTGATCCTGTTTCTAATAATCTTCAAGTATTAGATGTTTTTTTCTTCGGGTAATTTGCATTCGCGTCGGGTGTTTAGTTTTCTTTTGTAGTAATCCAGTTTGAGAGGTTATTTGAGGAGACTTTCTTCTGTGGTATTTTTAGGAGGGGGATTGAAGCCAATTGAATTTGTAAATATAAGTAAATATAGAGGACTGTGTTGAGAATAACTGGTATTTAAGAAAGGGGGTGAACATTCTATGCTGTATAAAATTAAGAGACCACACTTTGAATATTTTTCTATTGTTAGTCATAAAAAGTCGTTTCTTATAAGGGTTCGGTGAGATCCATGTCCATTTATTTCTTAATTTCTTTTTATAAAAGCTATTTAGGATACTTAGTCTGTTTTGTAATGAAAAATTTACTAACCTTGTTCCATTTTTGCTTCTATTCCAAACCGTACTTCTATACTAAGTTCTTCTCGAATTTTGTGTACCGATTTGGCCATTAAAATCTCCCATTATTATGACTTTTTATATGCAGTTTCAATTGTATTGAGGTCTTCGTAAAATTTCTGATTTTTGTTATGTCTTCCTTTTGAAGATCCGTCGGTGAATACGCCTGGATAATGGACCAATCTTCTTCTTTTTCTATATTAAGTTTAATGTTAAGAATTGGATAGTCGTTATTCCCTTATTTCTTCTATTTTTAAAGATTTTTAATATGAATCCTATCCAAATACCCGGCGTCTCTCCTTTATGATATAATATATACTTTCCATGTTATATTCTCCAAATCTTCTCATTCGTGATCCCTATAATATCCCATTTTATTTTTGTATAGCTAGTTAAGTTCTTCAAGTTTTTGGGTTTTAAGAGATCGACAGTGATGGTTGTTTGAATATCATTGTTTTCTTTTTAGTGGAGTATTGACGTTGACGTTATTTTTAACCTTTAGAGGGTGTGGTATTTCCCCACGATGACCAGTCGGTTGGGGAGGTGGTGTTTGTACTGGGTAGTATAGGTATGTCGGTTTCCGTTTACCGATATTAATTGTATTGCTTATTATCTAATGAGTTTGAGGGGAGGGAATTGCTTCTAGTTCGCATTAAATCAAAAGCATTTAATCTGTTGGCTTTATGGCATGAAGGTTTGTTTCCTTGAATTTCTGGTGATGTGATTCTCTCTCCGTTTTCCATGATTGTATGCTTTTTCCTTTTATTATTATTTTATCGAATTTTAAGTATGGATATTTCCTTTTTTCTCCTCTATATTGAGGTTTCTTTTCTCCAGACTTCCTTAGTATAATCTTCTGAAATTATAATCTTTAAGATTTTTCTTCATTTTCATATTCTTTTTCCATTCATTCACGAAAGATACCAAGGTAGGTCTTGACTTATCACCTGCTTTTCCAATGCGATAGATGTTATTCACATCGTGATCTTCAATATTTATGTTAAGTCGTTTTAAGAACTTTTTTCACTTTTTGTAGTAGTTCTAGGTTAGAGTTTTCGTCCTCTTTTATACCAAAAACTATTAAATTATTTTGTTTCTTAGCCTTTTAAGGTTTCCAGGTCTTTTGACTTTTCTATTTTATTTTTAGGATTTTATTTCTGCTGAAGTTTAATTTTTCATCCATCTCTCCATTATTTGTTGTTATAGAAGATCGGGTTGGATCATTTTCACTTTGTCAAATAAAAGTTGAAATTGACCATCCATTTTGTTTGTTAAAAATTATAGTATAGGAAATATAAAGAATTCCGAAATTGCACAGTAACAAATGCTCCTTCAATAATGTGACAGTACAAATGTCACTGCAACAAATGCTCTTTACAGTAATTTCTACGTATTTACCTCGAACTTTATTTGGTATTATGTTTAAGCAACACGGTCGTAGATACAAAATAACCACGTAGAAAGTTAAGCAAATTTTTCTTCTCACTTCACTTGCTTATATTTTATTGTTCACTTTTTTTTTAGTCACCAACACAATAACACTTTTGAAAAGTAGATTTTGTATTTATTCCGTTGTCCACAAAGTAAGTACTACATATTTAGTTTAATGTAAAATACTAATTAAAAAATGTGTGATTTTCTTGAAAATGCGAAGAAACTTTTCCCCAACCGTTATAAATATATATGTTCCAGTAAAATAGCGATACTGGTAAGTAATTTGAAAATTGTGAATGTCTTGCCATGATTACAGGTAGTTTAAAGTATACTTCGTTAATAGAAATCAAGGGCCAGAACTAAATATTTAGATAAATACTTATGTAGATATATAACTGACAAAACAAAGCGGTGAAGTGTAAGGTCGCCGCACTTGCACTTACAATGGCCCTCGTTAGTACGCTGTTTGCGTGCACTAATTATTGCAACACGACCAATGTCAAACACCTTTGCTGATAATTTTCTTTTCATATTATAAGTTAATATGTTGTTAATCTATTTCGTCGTTAAAAACTTACTTCAGACATTATTAAGTTGAATATACAGTTTAGATTAGACAGTACTTACCTTCTTAACCTACATAGTAATAATGAAAAATTAACAAAAAGAAAATAAAAATAAATTTAAAAAGTTTGGTCCCTGTGGCAGTGTACCTTAAACGCTGGCAGCATTTCCTCGCTGTATTGCGATACTTATTCGTTGAGCGAGGAAAGCACCACCAGCTCTGGGGTCACCGGTACTATCTACCAGGCGCCAACTTAAATCTTTAATTAGCGCCTGTGTACATGAACCCCACGGCCCAAGAGTCTCTACTCCAAAGGAAACAAAATTTGGAGGAAAGACTCTTATATTTGAGCCGTTTATTCTTTCTGCGGCCGCCCCAGCTTATGTCCTTGTCCGAAAGAGGTGAGACGGGGCAATTGGAATCGGATTGGAAAGACGGATGGGTATCGTTTACGCTTAGCTTAGACGCCCTTTGAACAACAGATAGGGCACCGTCAGATTCACAATCGAAACTTAGCTCTATGTACTTTCCCGTATTGGATTGACTTACTTAACGCTAAGAGTCGATTTGAATTTCACTCTTACGTTCGAGTATCTATATAATTGTTAACTTTTTCGGATAAATTACTACCACTCCACCCGAGCTAAATAAAAAAAAGGTCTTAGCTGGGCCTCAGATTTCTGAATCTGTTTCATGATCATTTTTTTTTTAAATCTAATAGGCATGTAGGTGATGAGCCTCGTGTACCTGACACATCCCGTCGACTTTTTGGGTCTAAGATATGTCGGTTTTCTCACGATGTTTTCCATCACCGTTCGAGTTGACGCGCATTCAAATGTTAAATGCGCACATAGAAAGAAAATCCATTGGTGCACAGCCGGTACCTCGATCGAACCTACGACCTCAGGGATGAGAGTTGCATGCTGAAGCCACTAGACCAACACTGCTCCACCCTAGCTAAAACTGGCATAAATTCTTCCTAAAGTTTTCAACGTATCTCATATTGTCGCTTAGATTTCTGGCGTGCTTAGATGTTTAACATGTATGAAATATTGTTGGTTATTAGAAAATCACGAATATCCAAGACATATATTTACGTGTTTTGCGTGTGATATGAAGAAAATTATCTGCCGCAGGGTGCACTTATCGCACTCAAGCAATTGTGGGCTATCATAATCAAGCTTTTAATGAAAAGTTACAGCCTTAGTGACTGAAGGGGCAGAACGTATATTCAACCTTTTTTCAATGTACCTACTAGATTTGTACTTACTACGTTTGATTTTTTTGCTTTGATTTTTTCAACCATTAGAAAAGGACATTTTATACGTAAATAATACAAAATGTTTATCGGTTTTGAAAAGTAGTAGCTAATGCATAGATAAGATTCTTGCAACATAATAAATAACTCCAGTACTCATATATTTATATAGCCGTGATTCCTAATAATTTCTCTATTTACATTCTTAATACAAACATCTTCAATTAAGCCCATTATTTACATTTTTAATTAATGACATTTTTTCTTCTGTATCACTTGTAGATCTTTCGTAATCGATCTGATATCTTCCTATAGTATTAAAGTTTATAGATCGTTCAATAGATAGGAATGGACCATACGAAGTAATGTGGGTCCGTGTTAGGTTCAAAGATAGCATGTTGCGGTTTATATGCACTGTCTTATAAGCGGTCTAAATTATAAGCAAGAGCGTGTAGTTAAAAAGTTAAATTTAAAAGAAAACATTAGTTCCGTGTAATTCTTATTTGAATAAAGTAAGACTACTTATTAGGAGTAGCAAAATTATACTACACGTGGACTCCACAGACGTCATGTAAACTCGTTTTAATACAGAAACAAGATCATCTAATTGCAAATGGGTCCATTCGTTTAGGAAGAGTTTAATTACTAACACACGCTCAGGAGATTTATATATATAAAGATTTGAAGAACTGATGAGTTTGCTGCTAAACACAGAGCTTAGCGTTTGTTTGTTACCATATAGGAAAGTATTCCGTGTGAAAATTTAGGCATGAATAGCAGTCACATAGTTCTCTCTACATTAGCGCAACGTATTTATAATATTTAAAATTTTAATCAGTGTACCGAATTCGCACTTGTAACATGGACCCTAGACAGCGATATTGGAAAATTGTCTAAATTATTGAGTGCTCATGTTGGCGTACAGCGTGGGAAAACAGGTGGAGTTTTCACGTAAAATAACAGCTTGTCTCTACCAAACACTACCGTACAGTCGGTATGATAAATCGATAATCATCGGTCATTCTAAGGTACTGTCGACAACAAAGTATTGATTAATACCGTAGACCAAATTGTCTAGTATACAGTAATTGTTTGAGGTTATTTCATTGTATATACATTAAAAACATGTGCAAATTCGTTTAAAAGTTCAGACAGTCATAGATAATAATGTATTCATTTTACGAAAACTTGTACTAAATATGTATGATTATTAAAGAGAAATCAACGTAAGGATAGCATATCTTTTGACTTAATCTTGTAGATTTGTCTCAAATTAATTTTCTATTTTTAAACAACTCAGTGATTCAACCAATTATAAAAAAAATAAAAAATGTAAATACAAGTTTATATCCTTTTTAAAATGATAAAATAATACGTTTTTTTCTTACATTTAAAAATGATGTCATTCTCGCAAAGTCATGTTAATTGTATCTGCTCGTAATAAAAATATTGTAATTGCCTTAACGATAGTCTATTTCAATTATACGAAGGTTGATCGATTTTAGGAAATAAAATGTGCGTAATTGTATATATTCTTAATAAACGATAACCAGGAAGTGCAGTATTTTATTATCATAGTCATGTTTTTATTTTAGATTTGTTTACGAATTACGTTAATACCCAATCTTGCTCAGTAGTCTTCAAAATATTTTACATTTTTCCAGTTCTTTAATTATTTATTATTATGTCACTTAAAGACGCTCATAAACAGTCCTATCATAACATATACTAATGCCTTAAAGATAATATAAAATGCCCTTTAAAATGTGTCTCACACGCTAAGCTTCGTCTTGTGGAGGAAGGTAGCTGCTCTTCATCCGATCTCAAGGGAGGGTCCTCCACCAGTCTAACTCTACCTCGACCAACTAGCCCGAAGGCCTCTTGGCTAAGGTTCAGAAGTTGTGTATCCATAGTGGCCGGAATAACAATGTTTTTGCGCGTTTCACGTCATTGCATCGCAGTGATCATAACCTGGAATTGTAGGTGTTACAGTTTTATAACACTTCATATGCAATACGTTTAGTTATTACTTTACTTTGCACTACACTATAACTTGAATTTTGTGGATACTGAAGGATAAATAATTGTATTGTTGTTATATGCGACAGAATTCTTTTACTTTTATTGATATCTTCATTCGATGATATATTATCCTAGTATTATTTTAATATGTTTGGTCTTGATTGCCGCATAGGACATCGAAAACATTGTTCTTAGTGGCTTCTAAGTAACTTCAGAAAACAAAGTAGGTTTTTTATAATTTTTTTTAATTTTTATAAAATAAAATTTCATACCAAGTCAATAGGAATTCTATCGATCTATTCAGAATAAATTAAGAGTAATATAAAAACGTGCTGCTCTTTAGCTCCAAATTTCTTCTCATTTTGTTTTCTGAGTTTACATATACATAGAGTAGATATGTAGGAGTAGGTAATACAATAAACACATTATGTTCGACTAAATTGCCAATATTTTCACACGTCGCAAACACAAAGGAATCGTAAAAATATAATCTGGTAGATATCCATTAAAATCAATTTAAATAGTTTATAAATTTCCCATAAATGGTTAAACCTGTTAATATAATTATTCGCATAGCGAATCGGCGAAGTTTTTCGTCGAACTGACAAATTGTACCACATTAAAATTTAGTACTCCGTACTAATATACATAAAAATTTGCATATCGGGTGTCGAGATGTATAATGTGTTGTAAATATTAGTAGTAATTTATTATTGTTTAAATACAAATGAACGGCAATTTGGATATTAAGTCAGAAAACATTCAAATGTGTTGAAAGCCATTTTTAAATTTTAATCTATTTGACATAAACTGATCCTACTTAATAACGAAACTTTCTTTCTTTAAGAGGCAATTAAAAAACCTTATCTTAGGAGATACAGTTAATTAAGTACTACTAGTTAAAACAAATGATCACTGCCAGACAACTCAACGGAATCCTGCAATCTTGATTAACTGCTAATCGTCATTGGTATGAATCCTGGATTATATTTAGATAAGTCTATGATTCGTAGCGCAAGCGCATTCGACAGTAATTTTTTTACATATAGAACTACTCGTGGCAATTACAATAGATATAAATATAGAAAACTGGTGTTATTGTTATTCATAGGCGTTATAATGGAAGTATATACACAATACGACACAATATTAATATGTTCAATACTTAATAGTAAAAGGCAAATATGAACGAAATAAAATCTTAATTTATTTCCTTTCAGATTTGACCAAGGCAAATCAACAAAAGGCGCGAGCAAGCTTCGGCGCGACCTCATCAACGCAGAGATCGCCAATCTTCGGGACCTTCTGCCTCTACCACCTTCCACTAGGCAGAGGCTATCACAACTACAGCTGATGGCACTAGTTTGTGTGTACGTCAGGAAATCTAATTACTTCCAACAAGGTTTGTTTATAAAATACACTAATGTCTACGATCTTACTTAAATAGATTGTTACTTAAACTCACTTCACTCCGATCTATGTTTGGGTGAAGACGAATATATTTAATTTACAGAATTCGAGAGTTGATTAATTCTTAAGATCATTGTTACATAATTCTGCATCTGCTTTTAAGACTTGTAGATGTCTTCTGTACGTGCCAGCCCGCATAATTAATGTGGTCAACAGTAGGTAATACTATAACCATAGTTGACAAAATATGAAAAAAAAACAATATTGGAGTATAATTATTGTTGTTTGAAGCTTTTATGACAGATGATAATCTTAACCAAAAGGTTGTTAATTATAAAATCTAATAAGCCCAACAGATCGACATAGCAATAGAGCAGAGGTTATGTCAGCATTAGCTTATCTTAAGGATATCTGTGTAAAGTATTTCTTGAAATAATCTTGTCTATTATAAACTCATAAATAACTCTTCGACGTCATCGGGTTGTATGTAATTACATGCAGAATGCACGTTTAATTTATAGACCAATATAGGTATTTAACTATTTATAACGACGGGTATCATATACTGTGCATTTCTTTCTACATGTGCCCCGTTTCAATTATACAATAGGTAGATCTAAGCTTAAAATAGCTTACCTCATTAACTGACGTGTAAAAAAATAATTTTCCAATTCATAGTTACTGAGAATCAAACAAAGCAGGCTTCTTTATATTTATTTTTTAAATTAAAATATTACCTTTTGAGTAAAATGCAACAGCCTTCTGCGTAAATGAGATTGAGAAATGAGAATACCTTAAGTCATTATAACCGAAGAAAAATAGTCAGTATGTAATGTATTTAGTTTTTTAAACAATAGATGAAAAAAAGAGATACCTAGATTAAAGTGAAAAAAATGGATACCTACACTTTATATAAGGAAGACAATACCTTTAATAATAAAAACTAGAATAGGTCAAAATTTATATTGTATTATTTATACTGTATATTGACAGAATAACATAGTATGTTAACTAAATGTGGTGCTGACAGCGTTCCGGTGCGTTAGAGATTAATGCCGTCATGGTTGATTATCTTCAAATGTGCCTTCTTGAATGATTCACACAGATTTAATAATCATAATTTATATTAACATTATACATAGTTGAAGTATGAAAATTCATCTTCCTATGAATTTGATTGAATCTGTAATTATAAAAAAAATATCTGAAAATCAATCATCCCCAATATGTTTAGGTGAATTTATAGACACACGTCTAACGATGCGGGTTTGATGCCCGAAGAAACAATAAACGTAATTCAATTAATTTGAATTGGCTGAGTAGTGTAAGAAATAATCTGTTTTTTTAAAATCATTTCAAAATTAAAATTTCAGATCGGATTATATCAAATTTATTATACTTGAAATAATTACTAATTACATATAAACAAAGTAGTGATTAAACGCTAATATTTATAATACCTACTACACATTTTTTTAGAACAGGGGGCAAACGGCTAGGAGGCTCATCTGATGGTAAGTGATACCGCCGCCCATGGACACTCGCAATGCCAGCGGGCGAGTGCGTTGCCGATCTTAGCATCTTCTTGGCTATTGTTTTTAATATAAATAACAAGAAGTATTAATAAACGATCAATAGTCAATATTCCCACGAAACAAACGGCCTTATCAATAAAAATTCACACAAATTAACCTACAAATATTATTTATACACACGCCTTTCTAACGCATATTTCCTTCAAGCTCAATTTAGCGATTTTCGCAAGGTCGATTATATGAAAAAATATCGAAAACCCAACCTTGAAACGTAATTGATAATCGTTTTACGTAACCAAAACGATTCTCACGATTCCGAAAACAGTTATTCGATTTAAACAGTGGTCGAGTTTGATAGGAAAATTGGGGAAAATTAGCGAGTTGAGGGCTACTAGTTGATGGTTATTGGGACTAATGGTGCCCGGGGGGAGCCACGCCCCCTTTGCACGCCGGCGGCCTCTGGGGGTTCACATCATTTTGCGGTATGTAAGATATGTCGTTCAAAACCAAACGCCTGGGATACAGCTTTAAAGAAAATACACACGCATTTCCGCATTTTTACCTAAAATTATACATTTAATATTATTGTGCACCCAAAGGTATTTTCTTATTTGCTTTTGTAGTTACTGTATAACAGCTAATAAATGTTCTTTTCAGTTAATATTAACCGTACAACATTCCATTAGGTAACTACATACTAGCAATTTAATAAATATTATCTTTATCTGGATATTGGTATATCTTCAATACATCGAAGATAATTTAAAATGTTTTGAAGAGTATACAAAGCTGACCCATCAACCTTTTAAAAAATTCCATACAAATAGCTAGTTATTGGCCATAGTACACGATGGTAAGCCTGAAGCCTCGATAAACGGTAGGAGAGCGTGGGAACAGATATCGCATTTATGATTCAACTGCTCCGTGTTTACTTAAATCAATCAGAGGTTAACCAAAGATAAACACTAATTATATATTTTTTTACATTAGCACTCTGCTCTTATTGTACTGAGTTGTGGTTAGAAATTAGCATCGTTCAATATGAAATATTTGATAACAAAGGCATCGAATCGGAAGTAGTGAGAAACTGGTTTATAGAAAAACACTTTTTTTACGGATTTGAAGTTATGTTTTATTATAAATTTACAATTATTTTACATAATTTTAAATTTTTAAATTGTAAATTTATAATAAAACATAACTTCAAATCCGTTAAAAAGTGTATTTCTATGTCTAAAAGTTATGTCAATAAAAGACAAAACTGGTTTATATTAAAATACAATTTTATAAAGGCTGTTTCCTTAAATTGATGTCTAACTACGATTGTACTTAGACATCATTTTAAGGACATTTTGTTGTGTTTGAACCTAAAGTTAGTATAAGGGTTGATAAATACTAAACATATATAAATCTAAATTATGATAAATTTAATCATTTTTATATTACACAACTAACCCGTCAAACTGAGTTAAAAATACTCACAACTAGATTCGAACTTGAGTCATACATTTAAACAGCGCTTTGATGAGAGGCAAACAACAATTACTTGGCTCCAATATCGTTCTAAATGCTGAAATTGCGCAAAACCGGCTTCGAATTATCGTTCACGCACCTGAATATTTTCTCAACAATTTTTGCATACCTCTCTGGGAACTATCCTTTCAGTCTAATTGCTGTACCGGATCCATAATATGCATTTTGTATTGCTTCTTTCACTGCATCAATAATTGGTGTGGCTTTGATGTTTTTCGGTTTGCGTGTCTTTGTTGTATCTGTTGCTTTGTGATTTATGCCGAAATATTTTTGAACAGATTTTGCAAATATTCATTTTTGAACGTTCGTACACGCATCGAAATAAGTATAAATAGTATGATTAAGATTACGCTAGGGTAATTATCATAGCATCAATATTCATTGCTCTTTTGAAGTGAAAACTTCTTTAGCGGCGTTGTACACTTTTTTTGGAATGGGTAAAAAATATTAAACTCACGTCAGGACACGTGACCTTATCGAAAATTCGTAAGACGGATGGAGAGTAGACAGCTGGCGCGGCGTATTTAATGTAATATAAATTGTCATGTTTGTGTACGATAGCACAATAAATAAATATTGAATTCTACCACATAAATGATAGTACTTTTATGCTGATAATTAAAGCAATTCGTGCAAAATTATTCCCTAACCATTCCAAAATATCAAAAATGCACAACGTTAATATTCAAGTTTTCACTTCTGCCGGCACTCCCGGAGTGCAATAAATTCAGCACATGCTAAACATATTAAACATACATTACTTATTAACAAGCTAAGTAGGAGTCTTTTCTTTTCAAAATACAACCGTTCAACGTAAGAAACGTACCACCGGTGAACATGGAATATGCTGGTGTATTTATTTATGGATCATAAAACATATATCTATGCGCGGATCTTGTAATTTAAATGCTAGAAGACAAGATTAATCGCTTACATTCACACAACTAATTTCTACATTTAGCTATCAAGTACTTAACACTAAAATAAAATTCGTATCTGGGTAACATATTTACGTTTTAAAGTAATCTGTATTTAGCATAGCGTATTGATCAAGTCTCGCTACGATAGGACTTAAGTGATCGTCCTTGATTAATTATATGAACAAGTGGATTTAGTATGTGTACGAGAACGGTCTTTTTAATTCGAAATTTAAATAAGCGAAGTCTTTTTTGATACTTACTTTTACTTTTAGTCTTACTATAAACATGATTGGTCCTTTATTAATTTTTTACATATATTTTAAGATTAACATGCAATAAAGCAACTTCGGTTATTTCCAATTACAAATTGACAGTCTTTTGTAGTACCTAATTCGTGGTTAATTAACAAAAATCTTGGCTTGTTTCACTTGTCTATTGCCATAGTAATTTGCTATATTATATTCTTATTCACAAGATTATAGAACAGTATTGTAGTCCAGTCACTGACACACGATATTATATTAACGTTTAATCAATCTCAGTAAATCAGAAAGAACCATTGTTTTGTTATATTTTCTAACCCCTCAGATAAAAAAAAAAAAAAAAAAAAAAAGGGGGGGGGGGAAAAAAAACAAATAAAAAAAAAAAAAAAAAAAAAAAAAAAAAAAAAAAAACCCCCCCCCCCGGGGGGGGGGGGGGGGGGGGGGGGGGGGGAGGGAAAAAAACCCCCCCCCCCCCCCTTTTTTTACACCAAAGGTTTGCCAAAAAAATTTGTGGGAGCGGGGCAATTCCCCCCAGGGGGGGGATAATTTAACAAGCCCCCAAATTATAAAAAGCTTTGTGATGTTTTCGTACACCAAAAAAAATATTCTTCTGATGACCTTTTATTTTTGTAGTCAAAAAGAAAGATTTTTTTCACATTTACCCAACTAAAATTACCACCGAAAACGAAGCACTGACAATTCAATACAAAACAGTTCATTCATTAATAATTACAATCTATCTTATGTCAATCAATATTGAAAAAGTACAAACAAGCAAAGTA